CCTATTATATTGCACAGTGTCAAAAAAACATGATGTACTGAATAATTGTTCTTGTACCTATCATGAAAAATATAATTTTTAAATCACTGTGATTATTTCTCAAATGCTTCAATTCTGTTGTTTAATCAGGATTGGTTACTTTGCATTTGGAAATGTACTCATTTTGCAAAACATCTAGCTTCAAGTTTGACTTTCAAGGTCCCAAAAAGCTAAAAGCTGTCAGTTCAACGAATTCTGAAATTTCTATACATACTTCATTTCTGTTGTTTATATTCTCTTTTTAGAGGATGAAATTTAACTAGTCAGTACAACAATTAACTAGTCAGACAACAATTTCATATGCGTTCAATAGCTATCTTGGGATCTAGTGTGAGTCAATTGCTAAACTCTAAGATTTTAAATTTATAAACTTCAGAAGGAAGATAGCTTTTGAAGCTGACAAAAGAAAATTGGAGAACAGTAGTCTTTTTGTGCACTGCCCAGAAATTCACTTACAAAGTGGTCCTATTGTGTTTCTCATAATTTACATTTACTGTTTTGGCAAAGCAGAAAGGAAAAAAATAAGTCAAACTTGGAGGCATACAACAAAAAATCAAAGAAGGCTTTTTTAAAAAATGTAAATGCCCCTTTGGCATTTAGATATCTACCAAGCCAATGTTTAACATTTATAAGAGATAAAACAGAAAACAAATATCTGGTTTTAGTCATGTCACTGATCAGGTGTGGTGCCATTTCACTTCTTACTAATGGCCACAGGAGGCTCATATTGGAACCAGTATTGACCTGTGTCTCATTTCTTCAGGTACAGGCAGAAAATAAACTGGGATGACAAGAGTTTTGGTGACTGATCTATGCGGATTTTGAGCAGACATCTCCCAAACAGATCAATACTATCCAAGGTGCAGCTGAAAAACAGGATAGGCTTGTATCACTAAACAAACACCAAGCTGCTTATTCACAAGGGCAAAAGCAACACAGCCCTTGTATTTTCCACAGTGTGTTTGCCAATGCCCTCAACCCTGACCTGCAGGGCAACCCTCTCTGTGACCAAAAGTAATCTTGTGCTGGGTCATCCTCTGGTACTAAAGGACTTCTATAAGTGACTGCATTTCTTTTACAGTGAGAGCTACTGTGTCCCCATCAGCACAGCAAAGACAACTATGCCATACCACAACTAGGCCATGAACTCAATTAGTCAAATGACCGCTTTGACCGGTAGGTTGGTAGACAGACAGATAGATAGATGCGTACACACATACATGCATGCATGATAGATAGATAAATAGATACATTGATGCATAGATAGATACCGAGATACAGAGATAGATACAGAGTACATAGATAGATACACATAGATACAGAGAGAGAGACAAAAATAAGATAAAATCAAATTAATATTTTCTACCTAATCATTTTGGAATTGTATGGATATATCTTGGCCTAAATCAATTTGCAAAGTTTCGATGATACTGTTATTTTTCTATATAGTACATAAATTATCTGTATAGACTACGTTCTGTAGGATATCTAGATAAATACTCTTTTAACCCTCCAAAATTGTTTTTATTCTAATTTTCGTTTACCCATGCAGACCCTCCCAAAAAAGAAATATTTGTGCAGACTCGTATAGACCTTTGACATCAACAAATTATGTGTGCATATGTAAATGAAGAGCAACTCAATCCATTAAGAGAATAGTAAGGCACATCCTATTGTTAATGGGGAAGTTAGAGGGTTCTTTTTTAAATTATGTGCTTGTACCAAGAGGTTACAACTCCATGAGTACAATGCTTCTTCATCAGTGGCATCTCTTCCATTGTTCTCCCCCATTTTCTCCCTCCTATCCCTACCCTCCAGTTACATAGTTCAATTTTTACATGATGGGCATTGAATATGCATTTGCTCACCCTTCCTCCCTCCATTCTTGTGCCCCTTCCTTCCACTCCTCACTCACCCCCCCCCCCAGAATAAAAACATGTTCCTAGTTCCTAATCATTTTGATAAACAGAGGTTCAGAGGAGTTAGACCTTTGGCCTCCTCCCCTAGTATACCATCCTTTAGTCAGTTTGTTTGTGTGTATACGCATAGAGCACTACAGATGTTATCATGCATGTTTGTATTTTAGATCTAGCTTGTCTCTCAGAGTCTTGCTTCATATCATTTTTTCTAGTGAAGTTATAGTTTCAAAAACAATTTTCCCAAAAATTACTGAGAAAATAAACGACTTAAATTGTGACCCTGGGCAAGATGTGTTCCTCTGGTCAATATGACTTCATTTTCAACTGAGTATGAATAAAATTTGAATGTTAGGTATGTTCCTAAAGTGAAAAGTCCTAGAAAAGAAAAAGATCCCAGCTTTCAGAGGCTACCTACTGACTCAGGACCAAAAAACAAGTATTTAAAATCTATAACCATAATTGAGCCTTAAAAACGTTTTAATGAACCATTGGTCGCTATAAGATGCAGTCATCTACCATCTAAGCTCTTTCATGTACTTAGAACGTTTATTTCTTTTCCAACTCTAAATATATGATTTGATCAATCTGGGACAGAAGTTGTGTCTCTCGCTGTCACTAAAAGACAAATGTGTATGGGGAGGAGGTCAAAGAAACATATAATAATGGTTGGCTCCCCCTTTTGTTTTTCCCTACAGTGGAAGGGGAAACAAAAACAAACAAAAAAACTTCGAAGAAAACAAACTTTCTCTCCAGCCCATCACTGTCTAAGCCCTATATCCACCTCTGAATAAAGAAGAAACAAATTCAACTTTGGACCTCTGCCATGGAGTGTGGCTCCTGCAAGGGGGACAGTTTGCTATTAATTGTTAATGTCGTCTGCCATTAGAGGGCACTAAACAACTCTACATTAATGTGTTGGAGGGAAGGGGGGAGAAAAGAGACAGGAAAAATGAGGAGGGAGGGGAAGGAGGGAGAGTATAGGCAGAGACCCAGTGTGGAGAAGGAAGACAGGAGCTGGGAAGGAGCGAAAGGAAGGAGAGCTGAGAGAAGACGCCAGGGAAAAGAGAAGAGCCAGCAGACAGATAGACAGAATGAATGAATCTGGAAAGATTAAGAAGGATGTGGAGCTTCCCCCCCCCCCACACACACACACCCCACCCCCGCGCCCCTCAGCCGTCTGAAGTGAGCAAAAAGCCAGTCTCCCCGGGCTGCCCGCGCCCCTCCCCTCCGTGCTCAGGACGGTAATTATAAAGCGAAAAGCGGCGGCGAGGTCACCGGTTTTAACCAGCCTGCCGCCGGCACCGAATGCGCGCGGTGCAGGTGCGGCGGCCGCGGGGCTTTGTGATTCAGGCCCACTTTCAAAGGGGGGCTTGGGCCCGTCTGAGAAGCACCCAAACAACTGTCTTCTAATATTAGCACGGCTGTATTTCGGGATCTATTATAGTCTGTCCAGACAGATCCCATTGTAATGGGATCTTTTATTAAAAGATTAGCACTATCTCCTGCAGTTGGTGGAAAAGAATCTGTTATCACTGAGTTATTTGCAGTTGTGGAGGGGGCTGAGTGGGGGGGGTTGACAGGAGATGGGGGGGTGAGGGCTAGGGGAGGACTTGGTGGGAGGAAGGTCTGGCTGGGCTGGGGAGGAAGACTGAGGCGGGGGAGCGGGCGGGGGAGAGATGGGGCGGGTTGGAAATCCGCAGGACAACCAATTGTAGTGACCTGCGAATGTCCAAGAATCCCGTCTGCATACTTCGCTGTCTGTGGTCGCTGGGGCTTCAGAGGCAAAAAAAAAAAAAAAAAAAAGAAAGAAAGAAAGAATAGAAATTAATGAGGCAGCTTTGGAATCAACAATATCGCCTTTTTTTCCGTGAAGTAATCGTTTTATATAAAAGGAAATATCGCCTCCTCAGTTTCATTCAGCCATGCCAAAAAATGTTATAAATGAGAGCCCCGCCAACTTTCAGCGAAGAATGCCAGGCACTGTACTTCATAAACGGCGGCCTCAGAAGTTCGCGATCGGTGTTGCAATCTTTTTATTATTATTGTTGTTGTTGTTATTTCGGGGGGGGCAGTGCAGGAGACTGGAGAGGTAGACGACAGGAATTGGGGGACCTCGGGTCAGGGAAGGAGGGGGCCGACCGCCTACGTCGGCGCCCCTGCTCGGGGCTGACTGCCGGCGCGGCGGCGAAGTGAAAGGGGAGTAAAGAAAGGGAGCAGGCGAGCCTGCGGCGGGGTGGGAGGCCGGGTCCGAGGTGTGACACAGTTTTTGTTTGCGAGCCTCGTGGAGACGCCGGGACGCGTCTCGGCCCCGCGGGGCTAGGGTGGGAGTGTCGGGGGCCCGGGTTCTCAGCCACAACTCCCGGCCGGGGAGGAGGGGATGGTGGGGTGGGGGGGCGGTGTGAGATGAACGCACACACGTGAGGCACGCACACAACCCAGACACAAAACCGCGCCGGGTCCCGCGCCCTGGCTGCGGGGAGTCTGAAACTGCCTGGAGGCCCCGCGCGTCCCGACCCGACCCAAGCCAGGCAGGAGACTGAAGCAGCTCGGGAAGGGGGGGGGAGGTACTGGGGAGGGGGGCTCCCCGGGGCGCACGGTGCGGGGGGGGGGAGGCTCCCCGGGCGTTTGCAAAAAGTCTTGCTGGAGCCGGAGAGCCGAGGATGAAGCAGTGCAGAGACAAACTCCGGGGGACCCCCCCCTCCTCCTCCTCCTCCAGCCCTCTGCTCCGCCCGCCGCCGCCGCCGCCTCCGCCGCCGCCTCCGCCGCCGCCTCCTCCTCTTCCTCCTCCTCCTCCTCCTCCTCCTCCAGAGCACCCACGGCGCCCTCCCTCCCGTGCACGCACACACACACACACACACACACACACACACACGCCACCCCGGGCGCGCCGGCGTTGCCTGCGAGCGGCGGCGTGCAGGACTGAAGTGGGTGTTCTTTCCCCCGCTCCCCACCCCCCGACGCGTCGCCCCCATCCCCCCCCCCGCCCCGATCGTCTGCCCCCTCCCTCCCGCTCCGACGCAAATAAGAACTCGGCGATTCCCCTCCCGCCGCTTTGATTTCGGGCACCTCCGACAGATAATTGGGAAGGGTTTCCAGAAGGTGGGAAATGTCACCTGATTCACACTGAACTTTTTTAAAAAGCTCCCCAACCCCCAAGGAGCCGCGCACACCCTCGCTCGCGGCCGCCCTCCCACAGCCCCACACCCTGGGAGACCGCCCACCGCAAACCGCGGAGACCCCCGTCTAGATTTAAAGCGCGGCTGCGCCCGGCTTCTGACGTCCATTGAATCGCGCGGGCGGCCGGCGGCGAGCGCGGGGCCGCGCCAGGATCGCTGCGCCCTGCGCCGCTCGCCTCCCAGACGCGCGTCGCCTGCCCGAGCCACCCGCCGCCGCCGCGCTCCTCGCTCGCCCCGCGCCTGCCCCACGATGGTCCGCGCCAGGCACCAGCCCGGCGGGCTCTGCCTCCTGCTGCTGCTGCTCTGCCAGTTCATGGAGGACCGCAGCGCCCAGGGTGAGTCAAGGGGAAGGGGGGGTCCGCTGGGGAGAACGGGGCGAAGGGAAAGGCTTTCTACTTTTCCGTCGTCTCCACTTGGGTCTGTCCTGAGCAACGCCGCTCTGGGAAAGAGGTTGGACCAACTTAACGACTCCGGGATGGAGAGGAGTGGGGAAACTGAGGTTACTGACACTAAGGAGGACTGAGAGCGGAGTTTGAACCTCGCTGATCCTTGAAAGGAAAGGGAGGGAGGAAGCCGCAGGCTCTCGCCTAGTTGGGGCTAGGTGCTCCAAGTTTTGGCCATAATGGCTTTAGATGTTATCTCTCCTGGTTGGCTGTGGACGAGGGTGACCAAGCATCTGTAGCCTGGAGATTTCAGTCGACCCACTTGTAATCTAACCTATCTCCTTGTTGTATCTTTTCTTTTGGAGGGGGATGTATGTGACTTTAAAATTTGACTTGGGTGGGGAGTGGGGTGGGGGAGAGAGCCCGAATTTTCCTAGGTGGCTGTGGGACGTGGTTGCAGAAACTTTGCCCAAACTTGGAAATGTGGGTGCTGAAATTTTTAGAGGGGAAGTACTTTTCTGCTTAGAGGATGCTCCTTTCTGTCCCCTCCCCCAGCCCCACAAAAGAGAAAAGAAAATAGAAAAGAAAACAGGAAAGAACAGAAATAAAAAAGACGAGACAGCCAAATTATTACCCCTGCGAATTCCGAGTACACTTTACAATTTTCTCCTCTTTGCTTCAGTTCTCTCCCTGGGAACTTTCGGTGAAACAATGAGCAACTCACAACTGATTTAGATTTTGAGATCAGGAGAACATTTTTTCTCAAGTTTGTCTTGGAAAATGGAAAATAGGTTTGTTTTAATTCTAGTCGTCTTGGGGGCAGAATTCTTAACAGGAATCCTAATAGCAGCTGTGGTCCAAGCATGGGTACAGTCTCTCTGCTGATTTATGAGAAGTCTTCCTACCCCCAAGTACGAGCATTAATTAAGAGGGGGGTGGTGGTATTATTTGCAATGATTTCTTCTTCGATGTGTCGAGAGCCCAGAGACGGGCAGTAGCCCTCCCTCGTTCACATGTTAGACTCTCCCGGTGCTAGCGTTCTCGTTTTCTGCCTTGAAAACTGCCTTCCCTGGGCACTACCCTTAGCCGTCTGCCCCGGCCCCTACGATGGGTTGCCCGCCTTTCGGGGAGAAGAGCAGCCTGAGTGCCTGGAACGTGGGCGCCAAGGGAAAAGAAGCCCTGGGAGATTTCGAAAGATCCCGGTGGCTGCGGGCGTGCTCCGGGGCTGGAGGATTGCAAAACGGGCCCGTCGGACGGGCGGGCTGTTCCTGGAGGCCGCGCGGGGCAGCTCCGGGCTGCGCCCTGTTGCTTTTTGCTTTCATTTTTCACAAGTGTCTTTTGCTTGATCGGTTCTGCATCCCTCTCCCCCCCTCCCCCATTCTCTCTCTCCCCCTCCCTCCCTCCCTCTCCTCCCCCCTCTCTCTTTCCCTCTCCTAATTTCTTAACCCCTGTCACAGAATATTTCCCTTACCGCCTACATGAAGCCAACATGTAAAAACAGCCGTCGCAATATTTTTGTCAGGTTCTTTAATCTGCTCTTCGAGTCGCTGCAGGCTATGAGATGGGAGGAAATAAAGTAAACAGTCTAGTAAAAGTCAACGCAGGCTGCACGTGTTGTGTCTGGGTCACTGGTAACTGACATTGATATGGCTAGGTGCTCCCGCGGTGCGCGCTCCCGTCCACCCTCCCCCTGGCCCTCGCCCGCTTCCCACCTGCGAGATCAACCCACCCCATCCCAACCCATCCCCCCCATCCCCTCCGACCTTTCCCACCCTTCGATTTCTTTTCCTCCCCTCCTCTCCTGTTTTCTGCTCCCTGCTCTCCTCCGCTACACTCAACCCCCCCCCCCCCCATCCCCACCGAGTCTCCGAGGCTTCTGCGCGCTAGCTGCCCCCTGGCCCTCTCCCTCCCCTCCTCCCTGCCCCCAGCCGCCACCCTCCTTCACCTCCCACCCATGACTCTTCACAGCTGGGAATTGCTGGCTCCGTCAAGCCAAGAACGGCCGCTGCCAGGTCCTATACAAGACAGAACTGAGCAAGGAGGAGTGCTGCAGCACCGGACGCCTGAGCACCTCGTGGACCGAGGAGGACGTGAACGACAACACTCTCTTCAAGTGGATGATTTTCAATGGGGGCGCCCCCAACTGCATCCCTTGTAAAGGTAAGACTCGCCTCCTCCCCCCCCCCCCCCCAACTTGCAGGGCCCACGGTAGAGGGCGTCTTCCCCTCAGCTTTCCTACTAACTAACTGGCGCTGGAGACTAGGAGAGCTTTGTAGGTGGGCTCCCCCCAAGCCTGGCTAGCCCGATCGAATCCGGCCTGTTGGGTGCTGCAGGCAGACCAAGGTTTGCTAACATCTTGGTTAAAGTATAATGATGAAACCAGTCAACCTGCGTTGCTGGAAACGCATTTTGGTGATGGGGTATACAGCTCACAGCCCCTATACCTTTGTGCCCTCTTCATTCTTTAATGGGAGAGAACCTGGGTCCTTCCAGCCCCAGAACCAAGGGTTGTCTGATTACACAAAGCACTTAAACATTTCCTGACTGACCTGCCAACCCTCTGATTCTAGTTTCAATCTGTATCTCTCTCAATCTCCTAGAAACGTGTGAGGATGTGGACTGCGGGCCAGGAAAGAAATGCCGAATGAACAAGAAGAACAAACCACGCTGTGTCTGTGCCCCAGATTGTTCCAATATCACCTGGAAAGGTCCAGTCTGTGGACTGGATGGGAAAACCTACCGCAATGAGTGTGCACTCCTCAAGGCCAGATGTAAAGAACAGCCAGAACTGGAAGTCCAGTACCAGGGCAAATGTAAAAGTAGGTCCCACCCTTGATCTAGACCCTGGCTCTCTCCTTCAACTTTGCATCTCAAGTAGGCCCTCTGGAAGACAGCTGGGAGATAATATAGATCACATAATAAGACCTAGTAGTAATAGTAGTAGTGGTAGTAGTAGTAGTAGTATAGTAATATAAAATAAAAGAGCCTTCTTCTAACTTCGAAAGAGTCATTAAAGAACCAATCTAGCATCTGGGCACTGGTGGTTCAGACCTGTAATCCGAGCTACTCAGGAGGCTGAGATCTGAGGATCGAGGTTCAAAGCCACCCGAGGCAAAAAAGTCTGTGAGACTCTTATCTCAATAAACCACTAGAAAACCAGAAGTGGCGCTGTGGCTCAAGCACCTGCTTTGATCTGAGGAGCTGAGGGACAGTGCCCAGGCCCAGAGTTCAAGCCCCATGACCAACAACAACAACAAAAAAGAACCAATCTGGAATTGTAGTTTGTTTTTTTTTTTTTTAAACCACCAGTCTCCCCAAATACTTTGCTAAATCTAGATAGTTCACTTTCATGATTCCCTCAGTAATAGTCAAATACTTAAGCTCTAAGGACCAGAGATGCTTACTGAATTATGTTTCTCTCTTTCTCTCTCTGTGTCTCTCTCTTCCAGAGACCTGCCGCGATGTTTTCTGCCCAGGCAGCTCTACATGTGTGGTGGACCAGACCAATAATGCCTACTGTGTGACGTGTAATCGGATTTGCCCAGAACCCACTTCCTCTGAGCAGTATCTCTGTGGGAATGATGGAGTGACCTACTCCAGTGCCTGCCATCTGAGAAAAGCCACGTGTCTGCTGGGCAGATCGATTGGATTAGCCTATGAGGGAAAGTGTATCAGTAGGTATTCTGGATTGAAGGAAAAGGAGATAACAGAGAATCAAAAGAGCTAAATCTAATGTTAAAACTGGGGTTCACAGATGGATAAAGGCTAAGACTTCCCCCCAAATGCATAGTTTCACCAGAGGAAGAGGTGCTCTCTAGTTTGGGTAAACTTGTTACCACAAAGCCTCTTGTGGAAACTATAACCGTCTGTAAGCCTTTATATTCTCTCTCTCTCTCTCTCTCTCTCTCTCTCTCTCTCTCTCTCTCTCTCTCTCCCTCTCCCTTCTTCCCTCCCTCCCTCCTTCTCTCTCTTCTTTCCTCCCTCCCTCTCTCTCTTTCTCTCCTTCCCTCCCTCCCTCCCTCTCTTTCTCTCTCTCTGAAATGCCAGCAAAAAACAGAAAACAGTATTCCATTTTAGAAAATTTAAAACTCACACCATTTTACACATTTCTTCAGAGTGCCAGACTTGCTGGAAGCGAAAAATAATTACTTAACAGTTCCTAAAATCTGTTATCAAATTCCAGTAATTAATGGAATTCTTTTTTCTAAAAAAAAAAAAGTCCCCACTTGTAGGAAATAATTAGATGCATATTGAACTCAAGGATACTGTGAAATCCTGTCCTCCTCCTTCCCCCACCAAAAAAAAAAGTGTTTTCATGATGCATTATATGGAATGTGATAATCACAGTGTGTATGCATCTGTCTGTGCTTGAATGTTTAATTATGAAGCACTTTTATGTCACATCTTCATTACCTGCTTTTAGTAAGCAATCAAATATAGATCATGTTTGTGTTTCTTAAATGCAACTAGAGAGGAAAGGAGAAAAGGGAGAAATGGGCGATCAGTTCACTCATTACAGATGTATTACATCCTAGAAGCAAAGTCCTGTGAAGATATCCAGTGCAGTGGTGGAAAAAAATGTTTATGGGATTTCAAGGTTGGCAGAGGCCGATGCTCCCTCTGTGATGAGCTGTGCCCTGACAGTAAATCGGATGAGCCTGTGTGTGCCAGTGACAATGCCACTTACGCCAGCGAGTGTGCCATGAAAGAAGCTGCCTGCTCCTCAGGTGTGCTACTGGAAGTAAAGCACGCCGGATCTTGCAACTGTAAGTGCCAATTTTTAACCTAGCTGCAATGTAAGTCTTTCCCAGGCAATTCCTAGCCAATGGAGACTTTAAAAGCACCACAGACCTCCCCATATGAGCCCTGTTTTAAGTTTGGTAGCTGCTACGTTTCACGGCAATTCGGCAATTCCGTGACCTACTGAAAAATTCGCCATGTTTCCCGGCTTTGGAGACTTAAGCTGGTGATCATCATCACCAATTGGGTTGTCTCTAAAAACCTATCTCCAGTTGCTCACCCCTAATTCTTTTGCATTAATTGTGTGCTTCTGCTGTTGCTTGATTAACACTTGAGTCTAAACTAACTGCTTCAAAAGTTATTGTTGTTGTTGTTGTTATTTTTCTCCAAAGACAGCTTTATATTATCAGACGTGGGCCGCTGCTTTTTTTTTTCTTTTTGCAGTTGCCTCTACTAACTCTGAATTAAGGACCCAAAGTAGTTATATGTAGAACACAAGAGCGCTTTTTATCTAATTGCAGGAATCTGCCCGTAAAACCTGAGCCATTGATTCTTCAGAACTTTCTGCAGTTTTTGACTTCATAGATAATTTTTTTAATACTAAAAAAATCAAATTTAACCAATTGCATATGTCAAAATGCAATACCAAAACCAAACCAAACCAAACATCACACTGCAAGTCACATAAAAATGCAACGCCGTAACATGGCTGTATCAGAGGGCTTTGAAAACATACACTGAGCTGCTTCTGCGCTGTTGTTGTCCATATTTAAACAACAGCTCCCCTGTATTCCCCCATCTAGCCATTTCGGAAGATACGGAGGAAGAGGAGGAAGATGAAGACCAGGACTACAGCTTTCCTATATCTTCCATTCTAGAGTGGTAAAGCCTCCAACAGTGTTCAGTGTTAACATAGCCTTTGGGCAAAAACAAACAAAAAAAAAAGAAAGAAAAGAAAAAAGAAAAAAATATATTGTCCATACTGTAAATAAGTGTATGCTTATTTATTTGGGGGTAAAACTATACAGTAAAGGACCTTTGTCCTAAAACTCTCTCCCAGGCCACCTTGTTACTCACTGGGCACAGAGAGGTGGTCATTGTGAGGTCTACTGGATGAGGCCCATAGTTGAGATTTGTAGACATTTATTTATACTGTGTCATGTTTTATAATTTATACATAAAATGTCTGGTTGACTGTACACCTTGTTTTTGAAGAAATTTATTAGTGAAAGAAAGAGCAGTTGTTATTTATTGTGAGGTCTCTTGCTTGTAAAGTAAAAGCTTTTTTTTTCTCCTTGTAAACCATTTAAGTCCATTCCTTAACTCTCACCCACTCATTTGTCTCCCATCATTTCACTGTTGGTTAGACTCTTTTCCACTTTTAACAAACTTGCATGTCAGTTTCTGTCATGTTTATTTATTGGATTCTCTGCTGCCTGATCTGTACATACATGATCCCTCGGGTTTTGTTTACAAGGAATCTTGACTGACCAAAAGGCATTATAACTCTAACTCAAATACAAGGTACAGAGGCTGTGCATCTTTGAGGAAACTACTACTTCAGTCCTCTTGTTCTGATGGTATTTGTGAAAGAGGACTGAATGCAGTGTTAGAACTCTAGGAATATACTTATACAATGTCACATATCCAAAGAAACAGTGTTGGGTATCAGGAGACTAAAGGAAGGTAAAGGCCAAACATTGGCCCTTTTGGTGGTTCCTTTTAAGCTAGTCAGCGGTACCTTTCAAATTAATTCTTGTTTCAACCAATGTGTCACTCACTAAAAGTTCTATCAAAGCTTTATCAGTTCAAGTTTCTTGCTTTTCATAATACTTTTTTCTGATGCAATTTTATATTTTCAAACATGGCAAGTTAAATATAAATTCATTTAAATATATAGTTTTGTACTTTTCTACCATGTAAATGTGCAATGTATATAAAAGTTATAATGTGTATTTGTAAATAAATGATGAGTGAAAAAATAAAAAAAAAATTAAAAGCCAGTGGTCTAATTTCCTGTTAATGAAAAAAAAATCCTTAGGGTCTTATGTGACAGTATAAGCCATACATTTGCTGAGAGATGTACTTACCCCTGAAATTAAGTTGCCAGGGAGATAGAAGCTCCAGAATGATGAAGGATCCAGGTCACCTCTAAGGATCTTGAAAGAGTTTCACAACTCCTTTACAGTAGAAACAGTATGCATCAGTTTCCAATGGAGGAGTATGGGTGTGTATTCCTCTCTGCAACATACCTAACCTAAAGTTTTCCTGAAAACATCTTGGAGGTCTAAATAACGTAGACCTCCAAGCCGGGCGTTGGTGGCTCACGCCTGTAATCCTAGCTACTCAGGAAGCTGAGATCTGAGGATCTCGGTTCAAAGCCAGCCCGGGCAGGAGAGACCGTGAGACTCCTATCTCCAATAAACCACCAGAAAACCGGAAGTGGCACTGTAGCTCAAGTGGTAGAGCGCTCACCTTGAGCTGAAGAGCTGAGGGACAGCGCACAGGCCCAGAGTTCAAGCCCCATGACCGACCAAAAAAAATAATAAAATAAAGTAGGCCTCCAATCTTTAAAAAAAATTGTTGTTGTTGTTTTTAAATACATCACTGGGAAAAGCAAAAAACAGACTGGTGATGGGCACATTCTAGAAATCAGAATATCAACTGCAGAAATGGCCATTGTGTAACTGTGATTCCAAAGACTTGGTGATATGAGAATGAAAATGGAGTTGATTTCCAGAATGATAACCCTGGCTCACAGGGATTAAATAATGACACCCTCAAGGTAGGAGAAAGTTTGTCAGTATTTTGCACTTTCTGTTTTACATTCTTAAAACTCCTCAGCATTGTTTAGTTCAACAATCTGTGGTTCTTAGAACATATATGTAGATTATCAATACCAGTTTCCAATTCCATGTGTGCTACATACTCAATCTATATGAAAAATACCAAAGCAATAGAAGATGAAAACAAATGACCAGGTCTACGAATGAAAGAATAAAGAAGAGTCAATATTTGCAGTACTGTTAAGAAAATAGGTTCTTTCTTTCAAACATCACAATCTAAGTTATTTTTAAAAGTTAGTTCTTTTTGTGAAGACCCTATTTAGTAAAAATTAACATCAGAGATACTCTCAATTGGTTGCCACATGAGAACTTTGATGGACTCAGAGGTAGTCAAGAGTTTACTGATTAGAAGCCCTGTAGAGTTTTCTTACTTTTCAGCCCTGAATTCTGGGAGAAAGAGGGAAAGTGGATAAAGAAAACAATCAGACTGCCCGTGGCTCATGCCTATAATCCTAGCTACTCAGAAGACTGAGATCTGAGGATCATGGTTCAAAGCCAGCCCAGCAGGAAAGTCCATGAGACTCTTATCTCTAATTAACACACAAAAAGCCACAGTAGAGCTGTGGCTCAATGAGCAAAGGAAGCTCAAGGACAGTGCTCAGGACCACAGTGCCCAGGACCAGAGTTCAAGCCCAGGACCAGCAAGAAAAAGAAAAAGGATCTAACTTCTCCAAGGCAGATGAGCTACTAGGTTGGCACTCAGGAGGACTCTCAGGAAAGAGAGATGGACAGATGCAGTTTCACAGTGCTTCCTAGCGCAGATTCCTTTTCCTTGATCCTGAGATGCTATATGTGCTTTAAAACTGCCATTGATGATCAGAGCAGAAACATAAAGTTTAACAGGCAGATGAATGTTTTGACAAAGAGGAGTGGTAAAATCAACAACCTGCATCTACATTATTAATTTAAAATTTCATTTCATATTTGTCAGTGTTAATCATTTCTCTTAAACACTACTGTCTCATTTTCCTCTTAGAGTTTCATCCTTTTCCATTCATCTTACCTTAGCCCAATTAGTACCAGAAAATTAGAAATCAATCTTTGAACAAGTGGTCTTCTGCTAGGCTACATCCTGAACCCTAGAAGATCTTCTAAATGAAGTTTATATTAATAGCATTCAATTACTGAATTGCAACTCTTATTCAAAAGATTGAATTCACTTCTGAGTGTGTTCATAGGAACAGTTGTTGGTAACTAGTTTTAATTAGCATGACTATATCCTAATTAGCATTAGGAATTGGAAAATATAAAGCGACAGTGCAAAATGAAAGTAATTTTTATCAGATGTACACCTAAATTATGATTTTTGTATACTATGTAACATGTAGTTCCTCAAATATGGCAAAAATAAAATCTGGCATAATTAAATCATTAACCAAGTCAGGCAAATGCAGTGCCCAACCCTAAACTGAATCTTGTACCTAAAAAAGAAAATTCTATAAATAACAACATTGGAGCCAAGTGCCAGTAGCTCACACCTGTAATCCTAGCTACCAAAGAGGCTAAAATTTGAGGATCCCTATTAAAAGCAGCCCAGGCAGGAAAGTCTGACACTCTTACCTCCAATGAACCACCAGAATGCTGGAAGTGGAGCTGTGGTTCAAGTGGTAGAGCATTAGACTTGGTCATAAAAGCTCAGTGGCAGCACCCAGGCCATGACTTCAACCCCTAGAACTGGCACAAAATAAACTAATAATTTATTACAACCTTGGGTTAAATCGACAAAATCAGAACAATGTCAAAAGATATTTCAAAGTTGAATTTGCTAGAATTGATTACTGTACTATACTCATGTAAAAGAATACTACTAGAGCCAGGCGCTGGTGGCTCACGCCTGTAATTCTAGCTACTCAGGAGGCTGAGATCTGAGGATCGCGGTTCAAAGCCAGCCCGGGCAGGAGAGACCATGAGACTCCTATCTCCAATAAAACCACCAGAAAACCGGAAGTGGCACTGTAGCTCAAGTGGTAGAGCGCTCGCCTTGAGCTGAAGAGCTGAGGGACAGAGCCCAGACCGAGTTCAAGCCCCACGGCCGACCAAAAAAAAAAAAAAAAGAATACTACTAGAATCAGGAAATACTTGTTTAAGCATATAGGAGAAAAGAATATGTTGTATATAATTAAAATTTAAGTGACTTGAAAAGGCATTATTTTCATTTATATTGTATTAACAAGTAAATCTGAGTAGAAGGTTTGTGAGTGTTTACATGGCTATCCTTTTTTACAACTTTCCTATAAATCTGAAAATATATCCAAATAAAATATATATCCAAAATAAAAATATATCCAAATAAAAGTTTGATTTTTTTTTAAGATCATTCTCAAGGGGAGAGGTACATTGCAGACTGCTTCTCTTCATTCTCTAGGGAATAAAGAAAAAATTATAAAATACTTGATGTTATAGGACCAGATGACTGGAAAATAATATGGAAACTGGAAAGTAATGACTTTAGCAAGTCTACTGAGAGAATCAAAATTGACAGTGAGATAATTCCTGATAATTGAACTATTTCTATCCTGAGAAACAGGTTTTGTTTTTGTGCAACCATCTTAAAATTTGGACTGATTAAAATATTACAAGTGCCCAATTTCTCCATTGTCCTTGCTATGTATAATTTCACATGTCATTTTATACCCCTGCTCCTCAGTTTCATCTATGCGATATAAGAAAGTGCCTCCCTCTAACAATGTTATGAAAGTTAAAAGAGATGAGATAGGCAAAAGGGTTATTTCATTTATTGTTACCTTAAAAAGTCAGTAAATTGCTGCTAGAATAAAAATCATTCTTATTGGGCTGGGAAGGTGGCTCAGTGGTAGAGTGCTTGCCTTGCATGCCTGAGGCCCTGGGTTCAATTCCTCAGCACCACATAAGCAAAAAGAAAAAAGCCGGAAGTGACGCTGTGGCTCAAGTGGTAGAGCACTAGCCTTGAGCTGAAGAGCTGAGGGACAGCGTCCAGGCCCAGAGTTCAGGCCTCGTGACTGGACCCCCCCCCTGCAAAAAAATCATTCTTATTAATTAAAGTAATAGGATGGCTCATCAATCAAAATTTCCCTTGAAAATACAAAATTAAGAAATAATTCCAATTGAGACCAGAATCAGGAGTGTAAAAGCACCTCAATGGAAGGTGGATGTAGTTTTACAACATTTTAGCCATATTAATATTTAACAAAAGTTCACTAATGTGTGTGTACACCATTCATAAAAACATATTTAGATGTATTATTTCCCATGGAAATTTAGAAAAAGAGAATTACCCACTAACATTTCCAAAGCTAAAACATGTGCCTTATTCTCTTTCATTCACAAACTCAAAACAACTCCTGGTAGTAAAATAAATTTTATCAATCTTTAATTTTGATATAAATTCCTACACAAGGCCTATAACTCTCCAAAGATAGGGCAAACCACAAGTCATCAAATTATTCTAATATAAACTGTACAGTTACCAGATTTAAAAGATGCCTATGTTATTTAATGGTCAAATTCAGTTGTTAAATAAGGTTTATCAGGACTGGATTCTAAGATTGACACATTTCTGTTGTTCCCATTCCACTTTCCATTCAGAGCACCACACAGTCCTTCTTCAGCCAAAAGTTGTTATGTAAATAGACTCCAGGCATGCTTGCCCTTCTAGTCAGCAGACCTGCCCAGACATGCCCAAATCCCAATTTCTATTTTGCTGGAATCCCCCCATGTGTACTGGGTGCCCCTTGGGGTTTGCCATCCTTGGACCTCAGCTATCTTGGCTACTGCTATCAAGATTCCTGTGGCAGAGCCCTTCAGAGCCCTTAAAAACATATTCTCTGGATTAGACCAATGTAGTCCTGGCAGAGGTATAATTTGTCATTTCTATTTTAAGACTATGGCCAAGGAATCAACTGGCAAGGTTGAGAGCCAGATACACTCCCACCAAACATCTCATTCCCCAAGGACTCGGGTCTCTGGCTACAGAGTATAAGTTTTACTCAAGAATTCATAGCTCAAGCAAGAAATTAGAGGCTAAAGTTATAATCCTGGTAAGGAAGAGGTGCCTACACATTGATTCCAGTTTCAAGAACAACGGGCTGGGGGAGAAAGGCGGTGAGGAGATATGAATAGATCTCTATCTTTTCCTGTACCACAAAAAAAATCAATGAGA